TTTGTGCACACATGCACATGCACACACATGCTTACACCTTAATCTGTCTTTTGCTTTAAATTTATCAAGATTTCTTGTGCTTTATTTTGACGGTAAGTTGACCCATGTGGACTTCAAGTGTAGTTAAAGAAAATCCTACCTTATCCAGAGTATAATTTGTCTCTACGTCTGTTGCTATAAGGAGCCATATCTCTGGAATTTGACAGTCACCCAAAGAGAGGGAAGACAGCCTAAGGGTCTCAGGCTGAAATTGCTTTTACTTAGAACCATTTATCAACGTGCTTACTCCACTTTCTCAGTGTTTTCCTTCTGTGGCTTACTTTTGTAATGCTAATACCTTCAAGCCACCCCTGAGAAACATGAATGTCTGAATTTGATGTCTCCTTGGCCAACTTGGTGTCCTGTGTCCTTCAGTTAGTATGTAGTTAGAATAACCAATATTTATAAAGCAATTATCTGATGCTAAATACTTAACAGACATGACCTTATTTAATTTTTATAACAAATCTATAGGTAAATGTTAGTATCATTCTCATTTTACTGTTGAAAGAACTGAGATCCACAGAAGTCAGTAATGATAATAAAGCCTCAGTCATAAAAAGATAGAAACTGAGATTTGAACCCAGTTTTTTCTGATTAAAAAATATTCCAGCTTTCTTAGGAATTAAGTTCCTAGTGGTCTCTCTGTTCTCTTATTCTTACATTGCCCGTGGATTTCTATATTATATTAAAACACAAACAACAAAAGCAAAATTAACAAGTGGGACTACACCAAATTAAAAGCTTCTGCAGTGCAAAAGAAACAATCAATGGAATGAAAAAACATCCTACAAAATGAGAGAAAATATTTGCAAATCATATATGTGATTAACAGTTAATATTCAAAATATATAATAAACTCATACAACACAATAGCAGAAAATACAATCCAATTAAAAGATGGGCACAGGAACTATATAGACATTTTTCCAAAGAAGATATATAAATGGGCAACAGGTATGTGAAAATGTGCCTGACATAATTAACCATTAGGGAAATGCAAATCAAGACCAGAATAAGATATTGTCTCACACATGTTAGAATGGCTGTTCTCAAAAAGACAAGAGATAACAAGTGTTGGTGAAGATGTGGAGAAAACGGAACACTTGTGCACTTCTGGTGGGAATGTAAGTTGATACAGGCACTATTGAAAACAGTATGGGAGTTCTTCAAAAAATTAAAAATACAGGGGCTGGCCCCGTGGCCGAGTGGTTAAGTTCGCGCGCTCAGCTGCAGGCGGCCCAGTGTTTCGTTGGTTCGAATCCTGGGCGCGGACATGGCACTGCTCGTCAGACCACGCTGAGGCAGTGTCCCACATGCCACAACTAGAAGAACCCACAACGAAGAATACACAACTATGTACCGGGGGGCTTTGGGGAGAAAAAGGAAAAAATAAAATCTAAAAATAAATAAATAAATAAATAAAGTTTAAAAAAAAAATTAAAAATACAACTACTATATGATCCACCAATCCCACTTATGGGTATATATCCAAAGGAAATTAAAGACAGGATCTCAAAGAGATATCTGCACTCCCATGTTCATAGAAGCATTATTCACAAGAGCCAACATATGAAAACAACCTAAGTGTGTGTCAAAAGATGAATGGTTAAAGCAGATGTGAGATATATACAGACATACGTACACACACACACACACGGGAATATTATTCAGCCATGAGAAAGAAGGAAATCCTGCCATTTCTGACAACACGAATGGTCCATGAGAGTATTAATGCTAAGTGAAACAAGTCAGACAGATAAAGACAAATAATGCATGATGTCATTTATATATGGAATCTCATAAAAACAGAGTAGAATGGTGGTTATCAGAGGCTAGAGGATGAGAAAAATGGGAAGATGTTGGTCAAAGGGTACAAACTTCCAGTTTAAGACAAATAAGTTCTGGGGATCTAACGCATGGCATGGTGATTATAGGTAACAATATATATTGCTAAGAGAGTAGACGTTACATGTTCTCACCACGAAAGAAAAAAGGCAATTTTTAATGGGATGGAAGTGTCATCTAAGGCTTCAGTCACAACTGTTTTGCAATATATAAGTTTATCAAATCAACAGGCTATACGCCTTAGAGTAACGCAACATTTTATGTCAATTATATTTCAATAAAACTGGAAAAAATTCAGAACCATGTTCAATGCATTAAGAAGACAGTAGCTTCTCATTCAATAATTTTTGTTCTTTTCAGCCAATTTTATAAAATTGCTTACGTGAAAAGTAAGATTTTTTCTAGTAATTAGATATTCATGGAAATTTTTAAATCATACCCTTTTATTGAATATCCGATTATTATCTGGGTTCAGTTTAATTACATGTGTCTTTAAAAGTAAAGAATATTTTCTAACAAGAGAGAGATGCAACTATGGAAAAATGGCCAGAGAGATGCAGCATTGTTGACTTCGACAATGGAGGAAGGGAGTCATGAACCAAGGAATGTAGGAGAACTCAAAACAGATGCTCCTCTAGAGCCTCTAGAAAGGAATGCAGCCTTGCTAAGACGGTGATTTTAACCCACTGAGACCCCACGTTAGACTTCTGACCTACAGACAGTAAAATAACACATTTGTGTTGTTTTAAGCCACCAAGTTTGAGGTAATTTTTTGTGGCAGTTGTACAAATCTAATAAGTGCTAGTTAGACACTTGGACTAGTCAAGGCCTATTCTTGATTTTCTCCATCCAGACCTTCCCTAGTTGTGTTTATTTTTACATTTTGATGGGCATTACCTTGAGGACTAGATATACTCCAGATTCTGAACCAAACACGTCTAGAGAATGATTCCCCATACTTGGCTATGCAGGCAGGTAAGGTTGTGGTTCTAGTCTTGAATTCAAGTGTTGAGCTCTACGTCACAGACCCCAGATATATTAATTCTCTAAGAATAGCCCAATCTGTAAGACTATACTTTTTATTCATTCAACAAATTTTTTTTATACCTACTGTATGCCATTTCTATGCTGGTTACTGGAACCCAATGATGAACAACATGGACAAACCATCAACTCTCATAGTGTTTATACTCCAGAGCAAGGGTCAGCAAACAATAGCCCAGAGATCAAAGTGAGTCCACTACCTGTTTTTATAAATAAAGTTTTATTGGAACACAGACGTGCCCATTCACTCACATTTCCAATGCTGCTTTCAGGTTGTAATAACAGAGTGAATTGGTAGCCATGGAGACCGTATAGCCCATGATGCCTATAATATGTATCATCTGGCTCTTTACAGAAAAGGTTTGCCAACCCTTACTCTAGAGGGAAGATGAAATAAATATGTACAAATATGAAAAGTGTTATGAAGAAGAACTGCAGAGTTCCCTGGAAGTGTCTTAGAGTGAGAGGATAGCATTTAACTAATCTAACATAACCAAAAACTAAAGGGTGTGTAAGAGTTAGCCAAATAAAGAAAATGTGAGAGGTTAAGAAAAAGTGTCTGAGATAGAAGGAAGATTGTGTGTAAATGCCATAAGATGAGAAAGAACGTGGTACATCTGACATTAAGCTGGGGAGAGGAGAATAAGTAGAAGAAAAGCCCAAAATGATGCCAACTCAGGAAAATATGAGGCCATGTTAAGAGTGTTGATTCCATAAAAAATGCACTGGGAAGGCAATGACTAGTTTTAAGCTGAGTTTCCTTGCCCACTTCTTGATTATCTCCTTGACTTGAAACTCTGCCCTGATCCCTAACTGCTTGGCTATGGTTCCTGTATATGCCTAGATCCTGCAAACTCTTCTTTCAGCAACCTTGATGTTGCTTTCTTGATAACAATATTCTAGATAGGTTCTTTCTGACTTTCTAACTGAATCTCACATCGTTTCTGTATTTTACCTATCTTCTTGTACCCACAGCTGACGCAGACTTCCTGATATGGGCTCTTATCTGACCATTCCCTGGGTTACAGTTCATTGGACTGCCACGACATTCCTCACTTTCATAAGTCTCTGCCTTCATTCTATTGAAGTCTAGCTTTGATCATGGAAAGGAAACAGACAAACCAACACAGACAATAGACTGACAAGAGTTACTTTGACTTCAAGTCCTGGCTTCCTAACTTTATATCTCTGTGATGTAAACAAGATGTGACATTAAATGACCCCTAAGCTTCTTCATCTCTACAATGGTCACAGAATTCTTATGAGGATTAAATGGAAAAAGTATGCTGTGGTAGATCAATTGCATTGACGGACTCTGCTAAAGGCATCTCTGTATCCCCACCCTTTGCTGTTGCCTCTCACTCAGTAACTTTTATGTCCCACTCTAAGTTCTGACTTGACCCTGTAACTTTCTTTGTCAATAGAGAGGTAACGAATGCAACACAAGCAGAGACTCCAAAATGTGTTTATGAGTTTCAGCTTTCTCTCTTACTGCTCAGCCTTCCCCATGAAGATATGCCTGGGATAGTCTGCTAGAGAATGAGGCAAGTGGAAGATTTGAGTCAGCCCAGTCTTCCCAGCAAGGTCACAGATATGCTAGACAGCCCTCCTAACATCTGTAAAGTTGCCTAGCCAACACGTTGTTGACCATGGACACTTGAGTGAACCCACCAAGTGTCATTCAGAACAGCAGAACTGACCAACTCTAGACTCATGAACAAAAATTACTGTTTACTTTGTTTATCTCTGAGGTTTTTGTGGTTGGTTGTTCCACAAAAGTTTTTGTAGCAGCAACTAACTGATGCATATGCAGTAAGTGGGATAACAATGTCAAGCATATACTCAGTGCTCAATAAGTGGTAGCCCCCTCTCCCCACCACTGCCACCTATGTGATGTAAATATCAGCAGGTATCAATTCAGAGTATACTGCCATTATTACACTGGTTGGGGTTGTGTTTCACTTCTGCTGCGTTTCCAGACAGCATGCTTCCAGACACACACACACACACACACACACCTGCAATTAAATAAACTGTGGGTCCCACCATTTGCATTCTTAAATGAGTACCTGCCTGTTGCAGTCTAAGAGGTTCTCACCAAAGTCACCTCCAAATCCATTTCCTTTCTCTTTAGGTGCCCACCACAGCTCCGGCATACTCCTCTGCCCAGCAGAACTGAGCAAGCTACACCATGTCAGGGTCAGCACAGCCTGGCTTCTGAAGTAGGTCTGGAGACAGTTTCCAAAGAAACGTGTTATTAAAGAAACAATGCCTTTGTCTTGGCAACAGGGCTAAGTGCTGTTTACTTCCAGACGCTTTCCTGGAACACAGAGGAGGGAGTGCAGCTGCACGTCATTCATGGAGTAGCTGTGACAGGATGGGGGGCAGCACTCAAAGGAAATGACCAAGCTCATTCAGGGCTGGGAACATGATGCAATTTTCTGTCCCTGACAAAAAAGAATTCAGTTTCCTTCTGCATTGGCCTGCACCTGCTCCAAACTTCAACATTCCTGTTTCTGTGAATGACACCATGCTTTTCTCCTTGACCTGATCGTCTAAGCTTTATCTTGATTTCTCCATATAAATGTCTACCTTGTTCCACTTTCTCACCATCACGTTGTTCTTTCTGATCAAGACAAGTGCAGCCAAGTGGCTCAGACCATAGGCTCTGGGAAAAAATTACTTCAGCTAGAATCCTGTTTTGAACATTTAATCTCCATTTGTCCTTGGACAATTCTCTTTTTAAAGACTCACTTTCATAATAATAACAGTACATTTAAAAATAGTAGCTACATTATAGATGTGTTTTATAAAATAAATGAAATAATTCATCGTTATCTCAGTTTTGACAAAGAGCAAGCACTAAGTAAATGCTTCTTCTTATTCTATCATCATCATCATTTTGGGGAGGTTGTTTTTATTATTATCATGACTGAGTCCTGGTAGTTGTCTGACTAAACATCACACATCTATTCTGCTCATTTATCAGAATCTACCTTTAGTATTCCCCATGTAAACCACCCCAAAAACCTCTCAACTAGCCGCATCAGCTTTTTTCTCTTCCCTCTAATACTCTCTACTGACCTGCCATTTCTCCCAGGATAACTCCCATTTGTGGTAACATGGCATATTAATTTCCCAGGGCTGCCAGAGAAAAGTATCACAAACTAAGTGACTTGAACAACATAAATTTATTTTCTCACACTTCTGGAATCTAGATGTCTGAAATTAAGATATTGGTAGGGTGACCAAGCTCCCTCTGAAATCAGTCAGGAATAATTCCTTGCCTCTTCCTAGCTTCTGGCAACTTCCCCTCAATCTTTGGTGACCCTTGGTTTGTAGATACATCACTCCAATCACCTGTCATCACATGGGATTCTTGCGATGTCTCTGTCTTCACATAGTTGTATTCTTACAAGGATATATTGGATTAGGAACCCACCCTATTCCAGTATGACTTCATCTTAACTAAATACATCTGCAATAATCCTACTTCCATATGAGGTCACATTCTGAGGTACCGTCTGTCTATCTATCTGATTCTGACTAGGTATAGATAAGAGTTTGCATTATACAAAGGTGGTCACAATGATCTTTCTCATTCCACATGCTCTTCTGCAAGGCATTATACAATACTCTAGCAGTCAGCCATGTGAGAAGCAGAAACTCAACTTCTTTTCCTTCCTTCCTTCCTTCTCTCCTTCCTTCCTCATCCTCTCTCTCTCCCACCCTCTCTCCCCTTCTCACTCTCCTATTAGCATTGCCAAACATATTTTCATATTTTTGTGGTTATTTATAGTGTGCTCATCAGAACATTTGATATTCACTTATTTTTCCTTCATGGGCTTGTCTCCCTCATAAAGCTTTCCTGACTGTCCCCAGCCCAAGTTGAGTTACTCCATCACTGCCTCTCATAGAGCTTAGAGATGATACCATTTTATTTAGGATCCAGTTTTCTAGCACTTGCATTTTCCCTCTTCTTGTTTCCAAAAGCAAACAATTCCTTCTGGACCAGGATGACATTTGGTTTATTTGCATATTATTTCAATTCTTAGAAGGAGTTTAGAACACATTAAGGACTCAATAAACAATTGTTGAATGGTGGACCCATTTCTAATCCTCTGCCTTTACCTACCCCCTCAAATGCTAACTCATTCTCATCATTTCAGCTTTGAGCTATTAGGGTAGCTAGTATTTTCAGATGCCAGCATCTTTCTTTCTCTGTTTTTTCTCTGCTAATGGAATGCTTGCTCTCAGATGCTAAGAGTGATCAAGACACAAGTCTGAATACAACAAGCAAACAGATGAATAAATGAATGAACGAATGAATATTTTAACTTTCTGACCACATAATTATTTTGGGAATGGGTGCATGAACCAAACATAGTCTTGCTTCCCTGGGACTTTTCAGCTTGGAAATACTGTCTCTGTCCTTGGTTGTCATGGTACCAGAAGAATGCAAATCAGGCTGGCGGTTGCATTCTCCAGCACTCCATGGATGGAACCTGTTTAAAAATGTAGAAGAGTCAATACATAGAGAAAGAACAAATGTGAGAATAAATATGTTGGACAAATCATTTGGGGCCTAGATCAAGACATGCCTGCTCTCCGTTTTTCCTCTGTACTTTATTTATGGGAATCTCAGAAACTGGCTTAATGTTTGCATCCCTCTACATGCTATTGAAACTATTCCTAATAAGAAACAGTATTCCTTTAAACTTCTCTAGCTGCTGACAATCTAAAATGTTCCCTTTGGTTTTTCCTTCTTAATTTACCAATTTATGAAACCTAGATTAGGATTCCCCACCCCTAGTACGAAATCTTCCTCAAGCTTTCCCACTCTCTGTTTCTCTGAATGTTCAGGAAGCAAAGAGGGTTCCATGAAGCATTTTGCATTTTGATTGGAAGATAGCTTGGAATGGAGAACCATATAAAAGAGCAAGAAAACTTTATGGAATGTGTAAAAATTTACGAAAGGTCACAAAAATTACAGCACATTTTTTCTTAGGCTATTGTCTATGCATTTAATAATGATGAACATTATATAATAACAAAAGAAATACGAGATGCTTTAGCAAAGCAGAGCATAGTTTGGCATATATATCATAGTTACAATGTAAAATAATGGGTATTAACTTAAAACTGGCAAAAAAATAATCTCTCAGTTTTAGTGTGATAGGATTATGGGTGAGACGTGTTTTTCCTGTAAATATTTACGTTATTTTTACAGTTTAAACAAATAAAAGATTTTTCGCTCTATTTTCCCAATTTTCTATGACGTGTGTGTATCTGTGGGTGTGTCTTTGTGGGTGGCAGATGAGGGTAGGTGGCAGAAGACGTGGACCCAGTAGCTCCACTACTTATTACAGCATCTTAGCAAGATTCTACCATTAGTCTCAATTTCACCACCTGTAAAATGATGGTGAATGAAATTGATCTGAGTTCCAAATTGAAAAGCCTACTTTTCTTAATTTAAATAAATTATGTGCATCAAATGTTAGCTTACTAAACTTTTAGGGCTATTCTGTGCTTCCCCAATGATTAGATCTGCTCACATGTTTTTGATACACATGAACCACTCATTCAATCCTCTTCCTTTTCATAGGGAAACATATTTTTGCCTCAAGGATATCAGCAGGGCAAGTGTAGTGAATTCTGATTACTTAGACTGGGCTTCAGTGTTGATGGTACTATATAGAATAGTTAGTTGAGACTATGGTGACCTGGAACATGTATCTTTGGTTAAAAGAGAAAGCAATTGCTCATCTCCAGCTGATAATTGCCAAGCCAGAATGTTGCCTCAGTGGTGTTCAGTTTTCCAATTTCTTTGAAGAAACTGTGAAAATCTAGATTTCTTTTATTTTTCAGATGTTACATATTAACTCAAATTACTATTGTACAAAACAACCTCTGTAAGCCTTAGACAAGCACCTTTGGGCTAAATCCATTCCTTGGACAATGCATATGCATTGTTGATCAGATGAGATGTAGAGGCCCTTTCAGGTCTATGATTGATCAGAAATTAACTGGTCTTTATTTCCTTGAGGTGTATTAGAAGAGCAGGTGCATTAGATAGTTTGTTTTTATTACCCAGCCTCCGTTCACTCTCCTTTTGTAAAAATTCCAGATCTCATTTGGAAAAGGACATCTTTCTTCCTCTCTGAATCTATATTTTCCATTGAAGTTGAGTTTATCTGTAACTCTAAGGGTGGCTTAAGGATATCAATGCTGTGTTCCAATGGCAAGATTATTTCAGACATAGACACATGGCCCAAGCCAAGCTAGTAAGAAACTAAGGGACTAAACCCTGGGACTTCCTTTAAACTATCATAAAAGGCGTGCCACTTTTTTGTCTGCTAGACAGGAACAAAGAAACCAGTAGCCTCGGAAGATACTGAAAGCCACATTGGAACCATGTGGCATGAAATACTTAGAGTCAAAACAGAGGAAGCAAAGATAACATGACTGGGAGGGAAATAACGGGTCCTTACTGTATTATTTATGCCCCTATATCCAGCATTGTCTGAAGCTAGCAGCCCTGGATTTTCTATCATGGGATCCATTAAATCTTTTTAACCTAAGCTAATTTGCATCTGGTTTCTGTTAACAGCAGAAAGTTCAAGCTGCTGCACAGAGGGAATTGAGGGGAATGGGAGAAACTACTTAGTCCTGAATTTCCTCATTGCTTACATTCAGGGGGGGAAAAAAAGGTCATAATAATAGCACTGTTTCTCCAACTCTAAGATGTTGGTGGATGTCTTTACTGAAGCATGGCTAGGCATAATGTCACCATGTCCCAGCACCATTTCCAGATGTTACTCTTCTGAATAAACATTGTCAGCATCTTCTCTTTGTACAGCAGAAACGGAATGTTATTTTTCTTTTATCCCTCTTGCCATATTCCCCTGCGGAACCATTTCAATTTACTGAAGTAGAGAGGGACCCAGCCGTTTGCGTCTTCTGTTATGAATGTGGTGCTTGAAATGCCAGAGTCAATGACATGAAACGCAGGGCTTCATTACTCCTCAGCTCACCCAGACTCGGGCTTCCCAGGACCCAGTGATAGTTTGCTGCCAGAAAGATACATTTGAATTTCAATGTGTCAAGTCTCTCTTGCTGTGTTTTCCATGTTGCAGGCTGAAAATGGCTTTTAGAAATCTTTTGA